TATTGTCTAATCTTAAATATTCATTCTGTGCAACCTCTGGTTGAAGACGGTGTCAATTGTCTTGTCAACTCTGATGACAATTGCATGGAGATTTTGTCAATAAAGGAAATACAATCCGGAAGAGAAATCATTGAAAATTCTTATGATGAAACTTAAGGAGTATACTGATACGAATCGTGAGAATAATTTCAAAGGAATTTTGTCCAATGTTTCTATGGAGATTAATTTTAATAAAATTTTAAGTGCGATTTCTGGTAGACTTTCAAAACCATTTTGGCAAAGTACTTGAGTACTTAGGTAATACTGAAAAGGATTTCAAAACAGTTCTGACCTTACCTACAAAGCAGTTCAAAGGGAATTATCGGATAAGTCTGAGAAGAGTGTGACGGTCATTCTGAAGAGTGTACCAAGGAAATTGTTAGGAATATTTTAAGAATTTCATACAGAAAAATGCACACAAAATTGAGCCAATTCTTGCCATTTTGAGGCAGTTGTTGAATTGGAGAGTGATTTATAAGAGATTCCAAGAGGTAATGCTGGAAAAATTTGGATATTATCAAGAATATTTTAGGGGACTATAACAAAGAAGTATGATGGAATTCTAGGATGATTCCAATGGAACTAAAAAAGGAGCGAGCATATCCTGTGAAGAATTCCAAGTAAATTCAGACTAACCAAAAATGTCATGATCTGGGACCCAAGAAAAATATGAATTCAGGAATTTAGAATCATTTGCAGATCCTGAGACTTCAAAAATGAAGCTATCAGACTTTCATTTTAGCAATATAAAAAAAATTCTTTGGCATAAAATTATTCGTTATGGTCATGCGAATAGTGGAGTTACCCGTAGTTAAGGTAAACTGTGTGCAAACTACTGGTTTGCTGAGTGTTGTGTGTTGTATGATGTCAAGAATTAAACTGTAAATCTGATCAACCTCAGAGTAATATTAGCATTATTTAGAACTAATAAAATCTTTAAATTCTAGTGCTGCATCAAATAGTAAGGACTAAATTGACTATTAGTTCAAAAAATCCATCCCATCAAATTTCCTTGATTCTTTGCTTCTCATTCTTTTAAAAAAAAGTTACAGTATAAAAAACAATTATAACCATATTTTCTGCTGTTTTTTACCCACATATAACTCAATTTTTGAAATGCTGCGTAATGGATACTTGAACTTTTTGGGCACACCGTGTTCAACTTTTGGATGATTTTAGCAATGCTTACTAGTTATTTGCTTTATATAATTTATTTAAACATGTAATTTATAAGCATTCTAGTACTTTAAATAAATTCCAGATGATCATATGTATGTACTGACCTATTTTAAGGGGAGATTAGCACATCACTTTGATTTCAATAGCATTATGTTAAAAAGAAGATTTCTTTGCGCATTCCCAATTTTTCCAGATTTTATATTTTACCTGGTCCAGATTTTTCTGAAAATGACCTGGCAACGCTGATCGCAGTAGGCCGCGTTTGAAAGCTGACGTGTTTTTCTTTTGCTACGTATTTTTCGTCAGCGAAATAAACATTTTTTGCTTTAAATTTCATAAAGTTATCATTTAGTGATATATCGTGTTATGTCTGTGTTTTCCTTGAGTGACTCGGTTAGCCTTGAATCTAACCTCCAAAATCTATGACGCAGCTTCAGTTTCATTGCCTCCCTGGAGCCCGGTTCTCCGAGTTTGAATGCCACACTTTCGGCGTGTAGTTGTGAGGTTCGTCACCTTGGGCGGGCGAGTTTGAACCCGATCCCGTTGGTGAATTAGCCAGGGAACGTGCTGATAATGGGTCCGTTGCCAGTTTTGGTGGTGATTCGGTGGCCGACGTTGACGTGAACTAGCAAGTTTTCCGCTTGCAAAAGTGCTCGGCTGCTGGTCTCTCGCAATTGTCGGAGACTGAATGATGCCTCGCTGGATACGCTCAAGACTAGACGCGTGGTAGCTGGTGACCGCGAACGGTTCGTAGGGAAAGCACTAGACGCGAACCTCCTCCCAGATGACCATGTAAATGCATGAAAATTTGTGTTTTTTTTAAAGAAATATTACGACAAAGGTGAATCACGAAATGAGATGCAAAGCGTAGAGAAAAACAAATCTACGGAACCCATATATGGAGGATCAAATTAACATAGTGAGACCAGTTCAAATACTTTTTACAATTTAAAAAAAAAAACAAACTAAATCAAGGTTGCAAATACTCATTTGAGATAAAACAATGTTTTTTTTTAATTATGAAATAATTAGATGCTATGAATCATAGCCTATGATCATATTTTGAATAGGTAAGATACAAGAGGAGGTTGCAAAGAATGTATTTGACATATTAAACCTGCTTATTTCACTTCATGGGAGTAACAATCAGCGATTTTTCACACACTCACTCATTCACTCAGCGATCAGCAAATCGCTGATTGTGACTCATAGAAAGCCAAATTTACAGGTTTTATGTTTCAAACGCATACTGTGTAACCTCTTCTTGTAAGTTTCAACTAAAACATTTAATCATACCATCTTTTGGTTTTATATTCCGAAAAACATTATTTTAGCTTAAATGAGTATTTGCAACCTTGAACTAAATACGTGCCAGGATTCAAGAGAACATTTCGAAACTGGAAGTGTGTGTGTAATACTAATATCAAATAATACATACATGCGGGGTTTATTGTAGGTGAAAGTAACCTCGGAATGGGCGTGGCCCTCCAGACATTCTGAAATGGGTTGCTGGATCTGCAACAGAGCCATCACCTTCTAACTCCCGGACTAAAACTGTCTACAATGACCATAAATGCGACATTGTAGAGAGAGTTCTTCCATAATAATACTGCCGGCCATACATATACACACACATAACCGTTTCTTGTTGTGTTGTCGTATTATATGCTAGATAATAGCTTCTGCAAGTAAATGATGTAAATTTTGCAGTAAACAAATAAAAGAAAAGAGATTGGTTCATATGGAACAGTTCCATTTCATTCAAGTTTCAGAAAGTTAGCGAACATGCTTCCGGTGTATCATGCTTATGTTTTGACCACTTCTTACAAAACAAAACCAAACCCGTTCCCACGTTACTGTCCACTAGACTGATGCAAAATTTGTATTTTTCCGCTCCACAGTGCTCAGATGGTTTCAAATTGGGTCCTGATCATCCGCCCAACAACTGTGCACAAACTGTATGTAGATTTATATGAAATTTACCATGAGAAAATCAAACTTTTTGATCATTGCCTTCTAACTTTTTTCCACATTCCTCTGATAAAAGAGATCAATATCTCCTATTGTAGGAAATTATCTCAGCTACAAACTTTGCTGGAGACTGTTGTCTAGCCAAACGCCAAATTAAAAAAAAAATATTCAAAAGAATTTCAATCTTATGACATGATTTAGCAGCTAGTTTGTGAGCAACACTGTATTGTGCAGTGTGACATGGTTGTCATGATTTTTGTGACGTGTGCCAGAAACATCAATTTTGACTGGTGAGCAGTTGATTGAGCATAATCAGATTAGACTTGAATAATTAATAACTTTTGTATCTTACATTTAATCGGAAAGTGGTCTTCAGTTAAGTTAAAGCTTGAATTTCATACAAGCACAGCAAACACTCTTTTTTGTAGAGCAATATTGTTAGAATTACTTGAACAAAAAGTTCGTTTTTCCCATGGAAATTTCCATATAAACATCAAATACTTTGTGTACAGTCAGTTTTTACTCAAATGAGTTCAAATTTTTAAGGTATGCTCAGGATTTGGTTTGGAACCATTTTAGCATCGTGGAGCAAAAATTACAAATTTTGCATCAGTCTACTATCCACTGTGCCAACCAGAGGGAAAACTTTCGAGTTCAACGTTCTGAATGCAAATTTCCTCCATTCTGCTTCCCGCTCCATCATTACGAACAATAATTGCATTAATCTGGTGGTTGTTACATCACTTCTTCGTTCCGTTTCCCGCCTGAGAACGTTGCTCTCGCTCATTTCGTCTCTGCAGTTGCAGTTTAATCTAGTCAAAGAACCAGACAGCATTACGCTTCCGCATTGTATACAAGTTCTTGATCCCCCCTGCACCTTCACCCTTTCGAAGCCCTGACTCGCCAGAACGCAGAATAAAGCAGCCAGCTGATGGCTAGGGAATAATCGCAAATCGCACGGTAACGGTTCCCGGAGCAATCACACAAAGAACCGCTGCTGCCGCCAAGCTTCTCTAGCGGACCCTGGGCCTAGCGATAGGTACCTCGAACTTAAAAACTAACGGAGATCGAAAGCTAGAAGAGCATGATCTTTCTAACTTATCCCATCCCTGGTTCTTCGCTCTCATCCCATCCCAGCGCATATTGTAATCATCGAAGGGTCAATTTTCTTCCCTTCGGTTCTTAGTCGCAGAAAAGTGCATCAAAGAAGGAACACGGAAAATGTTTAAAGACGAACAACAGTTCCGTTAGCGCACGAAAACAACTTTTGATTTTTCCCCGAGAAGCCGTGGGTATATTGGGGGAGTGTTGCCCACGAAATCGAAATCGCGCAAACCCGGGACGAGCCTATTGTATGCTCCGAGTTCAGTTCGACGAGCTTAGGTAGGTAGATAGGCAGTTCGTGCAGACTTAAACTGCTCGAAAAAACAGGCGAAATAAAATATTGTGTGTAGCGGAAATAAAGCAGATTGATGCTGGTGAAAGTGGCTCTTTCTCTTTGCATTAGTATACACCGAACGGCACTCAGCTCTGCCGGTCGAAGCCACAAGCCAACAGAAGCAGCTCAGCAACAGTGGTGAACGTTTGAAGTTCAATGCACCTTTTTTTTTCCCTGAACCTAGGTGTAGCGTAGGTAGTTGTAACCAGCTACTGTTTTGTCAGCCACAGTGGCGGGGAGTTCCGCCCCGAGAGTTCGTTCAACCCTCCACGATCTGCGCACATCGGACGGACAGTTCGGATCACGAAGTAAAGTTCCTGGTTCGTTCGGTGTTGGTAAACAAAAATGCTCTCTTTATTTTATTTTACTGTGATGATTTTTTTTGGCTTTGCTCAATAAGTACAAGATAACTGGATTTTTGCGTCGCACGGCTAGCGACAAATTTGAAGAAAAAGTGACAAGCACATTGCGTATCGGTGTGTTCCGCTACTTACGTGATGAATTTAAGTGGATATATTGCTTAATGCAAGTGAGCTCGGGCCAGAGCCAAAATTGGGGCCCCGGTCGGTGGGTCCGGAATGTCACCGGCACTGCCAGCTATATCGAGATGGGAGTACTTGATCGGACGGTCCGATTTGAGCCCATGCTTGTCCAGACCGGTGGACAGCATCATGAATGCAGCCGGACTCTGTGGGGGTGGGAATAGAGGAAAAAATATGTTAGAATTGAGGTGTGAAAATTTGTGTTTTAATTTACGAGCAGCGAATTTAGCAAAGAGTAAGATTATGCTACATGAATCAGTGTGGCGATGATCTTTGAAAACGGGCGGCTATCGCGACTCAGAGAACTGTTAACACCATAAATCGACTGATTTCATTAAGATTAAATTGCCAAGCAACAGAAATGGGCTGATTTTGCGATATTTTTTTTTTTTTTTTGTTAACGTCGCCTTCTAGTTTAAGGGAAACTGGACACACTTGATCCTTGGGGACACGTAATCAACTCGTTTTCTCGAAATCTTGATATTAATGATAATATATATCACTGATGTGGCGGCGATATGGCCAGCACTAATAGCTTTATTATTGGTATTCACAAAAAATGTATCAATTTTTCACAGCTCAAAGCTCAAGAATAAGTACGGGTAAGAGGGGCATAGTGAACAGGTGGGGTATAATGAGCATCCCGCACTCTACCCTCAAACCTCTATTTGTTCGAAACAAAGTAATTGGTAGTAGGTTCAACATCACCATTGTAATCCTAAATGACCAATTATTTTGTTTCGACCCATAAGAAAGTCAAGGCTAAAGCACAGGAAGCTCTCTATGCCCTGTTTCACTGTGTCCCTTCTTCCTCTAGAACTGATTTTTATCATTAATTTGGTGCTTTTTTAAACTTTTGTTTAGATTGATTTGAAGTTGAAAACGCAGTTACTGGAGATTTGAGTCCCCTTTAACCTTCCTAGTGCCTTGGGGTCATTTTTGGCCTGGAAACATTTGTATTTTTTCTCTAATGGATTAGGAAGGTTAATCTTGAGATAACATGTAATTGAAATTGTCCTTTGCTCGCTTTCTACTTTGTATATACAATTTTTACACTGCCGTAGGGTAAACGCTACTATAGTTGCGGTACGTTAGACGCGTTAGGTTTCTATAGTTGTGTATTGAGTTTCCAAACAAAACTATAGGAACCAAACGCTTCTAACGTACCGCTACTATAGAAGCGTTTCCCCTACTACAACGGAACTTTCAACTTGATAATTTAATCTCCTCATCTATAGTATAAAATCTCCACTTTAAGTCTGATATTTGACGTTAAGCATCTCCGACTATGTCAATCGTTAAATTCACGCATGATTAGTTAAAGCTCATTTTCCGATTTTTTATTGATTCTCCTAGGAACTCCCTGAAGGCTCCTGCCATAAATCCATTTTAAATTTATTTGAATTCTCCTTAGAATTTCAATGCAATTAACCTCAGAAATTTCATAAAATTCTACTTAGAATAATCTTGGACTTTTCCTCTGCATTCAATTGGAAAAACAATTCGTATTCTTCTTAGAATTCCAATAGTATTTCCTCAGAATTCTCAAAACAAAAATCTATCACAAAATAACATTGAAGCTCTTCTTAGAATTCATTCGAGATTGAACCTATAAAATTCGATTTCATTGAAATTCTCGGAATTTATTTCGATCTCTTAAGAAATCTTTTGGAATTTCGGAACAAATTTTGAATTCTTATTAGAATTTGACCTGGAATCCTCATCCAAACATCATAGAATTCTTCTCAGAACTCTCGTTAAATGCACTTAGGTATAACTATATACGTAAACCTGGCTTAAGATTTAAGCGGAGATGCAGAAATCGGTCCTCAGAGTACTTAATTTTACATGAGACTTCTGTAGTCTGTACTTTACCATTCTTCTCTGATATATCTTTGTGTCATCCCTAGAATCGTGTAAAATTCTCTTAGTTTTTTTTTTTAAGTTCTTAATCATCTTAAGACTTTTGAAAATCTATCACAGACAAATACCTTTGGAAAGTTTCCAAAGTTTACAATTTATTTTCTGGGAAAGGAGGTATATTTTCTCCGATTTTTAATCGAAATTTAAGGCATTTCCCAATAGTTTTCCTGGTGTTCTAAAGTTTTGTGGTTCACTGGTCACCCTTGTTAAAATTGTAATTTTTTCAACAGATATGTATATTTTGTTAAAACTACTGTAGACTCTCTTAATGCCAAGTACTCAATTTAAACATTTTGTTGATATTTTAAATTTTACTCTATTTTATTAGTGAAAAAGTGAGTTTAGTGACTATTTTTAGGGAAATAGTGACTTTTAATGACTTTTTGGTGTAAAAAGAGACTTTTTAGTGACTGGCTTCAAAATAGTGACCAAGTCACTAAAAAGTGACCTGCTACCAAACCTGTGTTATCCTGAGTGTATTTCTACTATTAAGATCGTTAGAAACGACGGAAATTAATTTTAACAAAATTCACCAAAAACTAAAATATATTCAATTGTTATTTCGTCTATATTAACAGACTCATCTTAAATTTGTAAAGGAAACGGTGTTTTTGGTGAGATCCCAACATTTATTCAATTTACTTATTAGAAAGAAAAGACGAACATTGGTTCTTGATTTAAGTCCTCGACCCATATTTTGCCCTGAGCAAACTGCAATACATTGTTTTGGTTTTTTGTTCGGCACCAGTTTTTGATTCGTGTGTTGTCAAAAAAATTTCCGATTAAGTCGATTTTCCACTCAAAAAATGGTAAGCATACTATACAATAGATCATTAGGGATAAATTAGGAACATTGAACATTTAATATAGGAACGAGTTAAGAAATACCTTACTTCATATTCGGAGAAAGAAATTTCTGCCGCCGTTTGGAAAGTTCGTGACAAGGAGATGGGCGTGAATGCAGCAGCCAAAGGTTGCGGAGTTCCGAGGACCAACATCCGCTCTCGCCTAAAGAAGAAGGAACGGCAGAGCTGTCATTCCGGACCTATGTCGGTACTGACAGAAGAAGAAGAGGACGAACTGGAACTTTAGATCTTCGACAGTCAACGCATAGGTGTATCAGTCACTAAAGATATGTTGCAAACACTTCCTCGATTAGAGCCCGCGGAATAATCCGTTCATCAATAACCGTCCAGGTTTATAATGAAAATTATCCTCAGTAGATATCTCTTTTACATAGGGGAAATGAATGCAATGTCGGCCTAAATGCCCCTAATTTGGGCCCGTACATAAATTCAGCAATCGAATAAATTTTCAATCGCGACCAAAAATATCCATTAGTGCCGTCCCAATGACGCGTTCATCTAGATAAAATTGATAAATAACAGATTTTTAGCGATCTTTTTCATTTTCATTTTCATTTTATGATGTACAAGGGGGTCAGGGGCCATGTCACCGATGTGAATATTCACACCATCCATAATACACCAGGGAAGGGGAGAGGAGTGAGCAACACAGCATCTTTACCCATGGGGGTTAAAAAAGTTCTGCGAGGTACACTTATGGTGAACTAGCTGCTCAGGGATTGTAGAAAGGAAGAGGGTTGGGTAGGCTTAAAATGCAGAATTAGATGCCGTCACGATTGAATGCGCATGTTTAAAAAACGTTGATCGTATCGTACCTATCGTATAAATTTGCATATCATCTAGTTATGGTTATTGTCAATAATAATTATATTTCGATAAAGATGACGCTACCCATTTTACCTTATACACTGAAGTATTTTTTTACACGGTTTTTTTTACGCGGTTTTTTTTTACACGGTTTTTTTTACACGGTTTTCCACGATTTACACGGTACGTTTTTAACGATTTCTCGACAACGATACAACCTATCGACTTGATTCCAACCACATTATCCGTTTCAAGCTATTTGTAATCGAATGGCATACTTAAAAAAAAATCACATTTTTTGGTGTAAATACAGAAATTTTTAAAATATGTCTATATGGACCATATCATGCTTTAATTACAAATGGCATCAAAATCCGATTTTTTAAAAACATTTAAGCATGCGAAAAATCAAAATCTCGTAGGTTTTTTTTACACGGTTTTTTTTTACACGGACCGTATCCCCCGTGTAAAAAAAGACCTGAGTGTATGTGATACTTATAACCACAGAATCCAACTTTGAATCGTAGACCAGGTCCATTAACAATACACTCGTTCCGAGAAGGGGGTCATGGTACCACTCATCCTTCTTCTTCTTCTTCTTCAGGTTCGCTCACCACTCGGACTGAACGTTCAATGTGGTTAGTAATATGACAGTGTTACATGCAAACGAAAAAGAGATACAGCAACGATTAGTTTTTTAAAGTAATAGTTTCATCTGAATACCCAACTAACTATATCTCAGTGGCATTGTCTCACTCTGAACCTACATTTAAAGTTATTTTGTGTTACTTTGGTACTCACATGAAATGTTGTGCAAGTAACACAAGTTCAACAACGCCCAACTACGGACAGCTCAATGTTAATACCATTTACTCTTTGAATCAGTGTACACCAACATGATAATCTACTAAGAAACACCTAAGAATGTATAGAGATAAAGCTCAAAATTACAATTTTAACTGATGGTACTTTATAAACATTAAACTGTCCAATATTGGACCCTGCCAACACACCGCGCCTGCACGGTAATTGAAGTGCTTCTCAAACTGAAGCGAAACATTTATCAATTTTTCAACGTTATCCTAACGTAAACTTAATATTATCATCCATATGCCCGTCCACGCCCGAAACCCATCCACCACACAAAATCAAATAAAAATGTTTTTGTATGGCAAACACGTCCAGACATAAACGAGAATTAGGGTGTATATCTTCACTGTAACAACTACGGGTAATCATCGAAAATACTTGCATTTTACTCAGGCACTTTTGAGCAAACTGCAATCATTCTCTCATACTCGAAATGTGCCACGACCAAATTGGCGCAACGATGCTCTATACGCTCTCTGACCAAAGCGCAGGGGATTTTTAGCGATAATCCCTATCTTAGATCCATATGCCAACATTAGAGCCATTTCCCGTATGTTATTATTTTCAGGAAAAAAAATGGCTCAAACTGTTCTTGTAGCGTCGATCGAAAGTGAAACTGAGAACTCCGGAATTCGTCACAAACGCCAGCGCGAAGATTTCTCCACACGACATCATATCCTCGTTGCGTTAAGTAAAAAACGTACTTCACAGAAAAGGAGCTCATGCATGTTCTGGATGATCCACGAAGAATCCTAAACGGAGATGAGACAAGTTTCCAGCTGAATCCAAAATCTAGGGCCGTGCTGGCATTGCGGAGAAGTACGAATGTGTATTTTGTTGAAAGGAACAGCAGCAAACTCAACGTAACCATTATGCTCACATTCCATGCGTCAGGATAAACTGTACCACCTACCATCATATACCCGTACAAGAAATTCCGCAAGAGGTAGTTAGGTCTGTCACCCCTTCATGGGGTATTGCCAAGTCGGTTAATGGATGGATGACATCCATTACATATTAATCTGGATACCTCAAAAATGTGCCGGGATATGGGGATTACGCTTGTAGCTCTACACCCAAACGTTACAAGGATAATACAACCTGCCGATGTATCGGCATTCAAACCATTGAAGAATGGTTGGCCGAAAGCAGTAAAGAGATTTCGAACTGAGGATCCCCTTCGTAAAATTACATTGAAGAACTTTGCAGTTGTTCTCCAGAACTCTTTGTGCCACTCTTTAACAACCACAAGCATTAAACATGGATTCAAAGCTTCTGGTATCTATCCTTGGGATTACAATGCCATTGATTACTCCAAGTGTATGGCCACAGCAGCTGATCATGAGGAGTATTGAGTATTGTTCCATCTACAACAACTGACTTGCACTTGAACAATGCGCTTCAGCTATCCGATCGCCAAGGATTAAACAATTCAAAGATGATTTCATCGTATTCAACAATCACGAAGAAGAAGTTCTGTATGAAATCTTTCAAGTTCTACATGCCGCTGTACCAGAAACAATAGAAGCTCTAGAAAATTGCAATAACGAGGAAGTCCGGCTCAGCTTGAATATCAATGCGGCAACGTCATATGCTCCTGCAACCAACGTGGAGTTTATTGACATGTTGGAAAAAACGCCTCAAGAATACAACAGCCGTCTTTGAAGGAACGCTTGACACGTTTTGACATCGGACGATTTTATTCGTGAGTTTACCGAAAAGTGGACCCTACACGATTGCTTTTATTGACAATAATCGTATTGTCAATACATTCTATATTGACGTCAATACATCGAGCTTGACAATATTTCTGAATTCACATCATCAATATTATTGTCAATAATTCCCCTTCGCGTCAATATATTGATGCGTGTGGGGTTTGCTAAAGGGAGGAAAGCAAACCCCACACGCATCAATATAATGACGCGAAGGGGAATTATTGACAATAATATTGATGATGTGAGTTCAGAAATATTGTCAATCTCGATATATTGACGTCAATATAGAATGTATTGACAATACGATTAATGTCAATAAAAGTAATCGTGTAGGGTCCACTGAAGAGAAGAAGCGCTTGGAGGAAGAGAAAGAGAACAGAGAGAAGGTGCGCGAAGGACGAAAAGTGGTGAATAAACCAAAAAAGAAGCAGCAGGAAGAGAAGAAAGCTTTGAAGAAGAAGAGAACTATTCTCTCTCGGAATAATTGAAACCAATCGAATTTTGATGATATTTTACTTGGATGACCCACTGTACATGAAGTGAATTTGATGATTCATATATTGATCTATTTGTTTGACTCAAATTAAAAAAAAAACACATATTTAATTGTGCTTTGGTCACTTGTACTCAACACTACCTATAACTCTTGTACTTTTAAATCGCTCAATACTTTAAAACGAAGTAAATTTCTAGGGTAGGCGAAAACTGGTTCCAGCGGTGGGCGAAATTAGGATTTCACGGGTCGAAATCTGGTATCAAATCATAAAATGAATAACACGTACTTTTCGCTTCACTTTAGTATTCTTTGAGGTGTTTTCAATTGGAATTATTAGAATGTTTTATTGTACGTATATACAACATAACCTATTATGTTGTATGTGAAACAGACGTACTCTTTGAATACATTTCATACATTCCAGGGCTGTTACAAGATTTTCTAAATTTGATCCGCGAAATCCGCGATTTCTCATAAGAAATCCGCGACTTCAAATACTAATCCGCGACAAAAAAAAAACTGTTTGTACTGCCTAAAAATAGCATTTGTATAGAAGTAGGATTGGCATTTCAAGCTTATTGCTTATAGCATATTAGATTTTTGCCTGCTCTAAACTTAGTGTTCTTTGAAGTACTTTCACATTTTAATTGAGAGCTTTCTATGTCTGTACCATCCTATGCCCAAGGAAATAGAGAAATTTTCCAATAATAGACAGGACGGGAATCGAACTCAGCCGCCTCCAGCATGGACTTGCTTTTTAGCTGCGCCTTTACCGAATGAGAAAAAGGAGTATCGTTTGTAACCTTTGAATTTTTTTTTTCAATAACATTGTATCAGTTATTTATGTATAGTATAAATTCTGAGCAGTTAGTGAACATAATGAAACACCCTTACATTATGAGATTTGATGAAAAATTATTTTAAAAAAAATAATGCATTTTCATTTGAAATGCAAATTTTCTTGAAAAATAACCTTTGGGTTTCTAACGTATTTTTCTTTCCTAAGTGTTGTAGTTAAATTGGCTCTAGTTTTCGCAATTTTTTTACCGATTCAAACCAGACACCCTGCTAATCGAGCAATTACCTGAGTTTCATAAGTCACACTTGTTGGTCACGTCGCGGTTCTGTATTTACACGGATATTCCTTGGGGTCTGTCCAATGGTGAGACATTTTCATGATATTTTTTTTATTTCTAATATGAGCCTAGCAATTTTCGTCGTCAAATCATAACCGAATCGTATATATGTGACGTTATGGATCATGCGCGACTTATTACTATGTGTACCGGAAATTATAGGTTTTCAAATCGTCCAGAACATCAGTTGATTTGTTCTACTAGATCAACCAAGACTGCATAATGTCTGTAGTATCGAAAAATGTCCAATCAGATTCAAAGTGTATATGTTATCATGAATGATGTATCTCCGAGTAATCCAGATGTTCAAGGTTCTTCAAATCGTTCTGGCGTTCAGATAATTTGATCTACTGGATTAATCGAGATCGGGACAATGTCTTTATTATCGAAATATCAGGTTCGCCAAATCGTCCAGCAGTTCAGATGATTTGTTTTACTAGATCAGTAAAGACCGAGTAATATATGTAGTATCGAAATATCGATTTGGAAATCCTAGAACATTTGGCATACACGGAAATAGGTTGGCAAGATCCACATAGACACTGCAAATTTGTTTGGACATATTTCGATACTACAGATATTGCATTAATCTTGGGTGATCTAGTAGAAAAAATCTGATCTCCATAATGATTAGGTCGGGCACGATCCACATAGACACTTTGAATCTGTTTGGACATATTCGATACTACATAAATTATTACAGTCTTGGTTGATATAGTAGAACAAACCAACTGAACTCCAGAACGATTTGGAGAACCGAGAATATCCGGTATACATGGCTATTACTCGCATATATACGATTCGTTTATGATTTGGCAACCAAAAATTTAAGTGGATAGATATAATCAGGCAAAGTGACCAATACGATGAAAGGAGGCGGATCTGGGATTGAACTCCCAACGTTCTGCTCAGTAAGCAGGCAAGGTAACCACTAATCTACCGAGCATCGTCTTATTTGCATAGCGAGTTTTTCATGAAAAAACGCAAGAGGGTTATATCATTATTGCTTGCCACATCTGAAATAGCTCGGAGGCCTTCCTTAGCTCAGTCGGTAAAGGCGCAGCTACAAAGCAAGACCATGCGGGAGGTGGCTGTGTTCGATTCCCGGTCCGGTCTAGGATTTTTTCGGTTTGGTAAATTTCTCGACATCCCTGGGCATAATAGAGCATGATTGTACTTGCCTCACAAAATTATACTAATTCAAAAATGGTGCAGTCATCGAAAGCTCTCAATTATTAACTGTGGAAGTGCTTCTAGAACACTAAGTTTAACACACGTAATATAAATTAAAATGCGATAAGCAATAAGCTTGAAATGCGAAGAAGAAGATCTGAAATAGCTTTAATTATTTGACTCGTTGATTACTTGTCATTTGGCAATATTGTTGCTTCCCTGCTCAGTAAATAACACACTAGCGAAAACATCTCACTTGCGAAAATGAACTTGTGTCGTTCGGATGAACTCGAAGGATGATGCCACAAGCTCAATTTTCACAAAAAAGTATTTAAAAAAAAATCCGTGCTCGCAAACTCCAAACATAACCAATCGTTAGCAACACATTACCTGATGACCTCTGGGGGTCCTGCTGGACGGCAGATTGTTGGCCTGCAGCACGTCTTCTCCGTAGCACTTGCCCGAGTGCAGGTCAAAGTCTTCCTTCCTCAGGATGGAAATCTCGAACGGATCACCAATTTTCTCTCCCTCCTCCTGCAAACGTAGCCCATGTCCGGCAGCCCTGGCCGGTCCATTGTCCATTACGATCGAGAGATTTCCTACGGCCAGCACCGCATGACCGGTCAGGGTAGCAATCGTAAACAGATGTGCATCTGGCAAGTTCTCCGCGATGACACGCTCCTTCATCTGACAGAGAGCGTCAGCCATGGCCATGCGCCCCTCGGCGTCGGTATTGCCAACGCGCACCCGAACTCCGGCTCTCGATGTGATCATCTCATCCGACACGTAGCATTCCTCGCCAACAGAGTTACGCACCATGCACATAACGCCAATCACATGCACTCCCTGTGGTTGCATCTGTTCCACAACCTTCATGAAACCGCCCACGGCAGCTGCTCCACATTTATCTCTGCTCATGCCGGCCATTATACCTCCAGCTTTGATGTCGGCACCACCGGTATCGTAGGTAACTCCCTTACCGACCAGGATCAATGTCTTCTTCGGGGGACTGTTCGACTTGTACTCTAAGAAGATCAATCGTCCCTGGTGACGTGGAACGCTCACTGCCGCTCGATTTACGGCGGCAAATAGCGGATATTCCTTTACCATTATTGCATGATCGGAAATCACGGATTTGAAGATAAGATTCTTATCAAACAACCCATCGGACACATATTGCTCTACTCGTGGGGGTGCCATTCGTTCTGGATCCCCACCTCCAATATCCCGAGCGACGAATCGACCAGCTTCGAAAGTTCTTGCTTCCTTCATGATCTTTGCCAACTTGGCTTGATCGGGGTGATAGAATCCTACCTGTTCAAATCGTTGTTTCTTCTCCGGAACATCCTCGCGCAGTTGCAGTGGAACGTACAGCTTTGCCAACGCTCCAAGAACCGACACCAAATCGGCCTCTACAAAATCCTTGCTGCTCGGGACAACTAACACCGGTTGCTTAGCCCCAGCCTTGATGGCCCGAGCCAGTGCATTCCCAGCGGCTTCGCCATACCGACGCACATCATCGAAATCAGTCAACTTACCCACGGGAGCATAGACCACACGACAGTTCAAAGCATCCGACTTGAAGCAGGTCGTCTCGCAATCGAAAGCCTCATCGACCGACTTGTGAGCAACGAAGCAGCCTTCCAGCACAGCCGGAACCTGACTGCCATCGATGACACAAACTGTGTCGTACCGGTTGTCCTTGAGGTAGTCGCGATCGAGTGACGTCACCGACTGTAGGATCCTACACGGCAGGAACCTGCAAAAACATAAACCAAAGCAAAGAAGAAAGATGAAAAACACGCACGCACACATAACGACCAACAGGTTCAGGCCGCGGAAAGTAGGTCAAAACAACAGAAATTAAAAATCACTCCGGCATTTCTTCCCCGAATCGAAATTCCTTTCTTATTCTTCTACCTTTAGTGAGCACGGTTGTACAGGTTGCTGATGATAATTTAATTCAACAACCAACGAGCAAACCATGAAGAGGAAAATAAATCTCTTGCTCCGCTCCTTTCTCCCCCAACCTTTTTACTCTTCCCACATTATCGATTTACTGTACAAAAAGGCACTTCATGAAGTTATAAGTTTTGCCCCCGCAAGCACCCGCGCCCTCGCCCCGTAAGGATCGACGGTCAACCCAGGGAGTAAGATGGGAAGCTTCTACCGAAACCTGACCCAAAGACTCTCCATTTCTGAACACGGGTTTGCTGCCTGCTTCTGTACCGTGTCAGTTCGAATGGGCTGAGAATGGTGCACTTTTTAGTGCTCACGCTCAGGTTGAAGAAAATAGGTTAGGAATACCTCTCAGGTAACGGTATATTTGATGGTTGTTTTTGTAGCTTGTTACACCACAGCGCGATGCGTGGTTCTACCCGGCGGCGGCGGCGGCGATGTCGGCCTACATGTTTTGCCGCAGTCTGTCCAGTTGTTAAGAGACATGATGAGCTATTAGGAGCTTCATACTGAATGATTAGAGAGGTGGTTAGGTGGCATTCAAATAAGTCATCATTATGAAAAATTAAATGAAAGCCAACCCGGAGCACTTTATGTGGATGACCACTTGAATAATCTCGCAGGTTTTAAATCAATTTCTTTATTTTTATACGACATGATCAATTGACGGCAGGGGGATCTAAAACCTCTCAAAAATGGTCTACGTAGTTTATGAACAGTCCCTAATTGGTTGCACCACAAAATCATGGCCTCCTGCATCACACATTAGGGACCTCCGTTGGCCTAGTGGGTAAAGGCGCAGCTATAAACAAGACCAGGGTGGCAAATGAATTTCCATTTGGAAATTCCTGGTTTTTTCCTGGTTTTCCTGGTCAATGATTTAAAAATTTCCTGGTTTTAAAAAGCATGTATTTAAAAAACAATTTTTAATAAAAAAAAAATTAAGTGAATCCTTGTACCATCATTGTTTGCGCAATGCGGAATTTCACAAACCAAAATAGGTATTAAGGTTCTTGTGAATGCCCGTGAAATCATTATCTGATTGTTTGCTGTAAAGAAGCTAGTAGGATCTAATGTCTGAAATTTAGAGATCTATAAGCCCCTAAATTTTGAGATTTCTGTTTTTGAAACAGTGATTTTTTAACTTTATTATTGAGATTTTTAGCCAACGGGCTAGTTTATCTCAAGGTCAAATTGCGAAGTGTGATATGAATGAGGACTCTTTAAACAAACCTTTGCTGCTAACAATTTTACGGATTTCCAGTTTGTTTAAATTTTCCGCAAATTGTCAACGATTAAGGATCTTATTTAGCGGAATTTTGATTACAACATGATTTCAAAATCATATGATTAAAAGATTTCATAAACAACGCTGGTTTAATAACTCTTATTATTAAAAAGACTGACTGCTGAAGTTCATAGAAACTCCCTAAAGTTCGTAGAACTTCCCTGAAGCGTTAAGGTATTTCCTGAAGGGTTTCTTTGAAGTTTGTATTGCCTGAATTTCATGGGACTTCCCCGAAATTCGAAGGACTTTTTTTTAAGATCTTAGGACTTCCCTGAAGTTCGGAGTTTTTTGAAATTCATAGGAATTTCTTAAATATCGTAGAAGTACCACGAAGTTCGTAGAAATTCTCAGAAGTTCGTAAGAGTTCCTTCAAGTTCGAAGAATTTTCTCGAAGATCTGAGGACTTCCCTGAAGTTTGAAGGACTTAACTGAATATATGAGGACCCTAAATTTTGAAAAGCTTCCCTGAAGTTCATAAGGCTTTAAATATCGATGGGTTTTCCCAAAGTTTGTGGGTCTTTCCTTAATTTCTTGGAAATGCCCTGAAGTTTAAAGAGCTCCCATGAATTTCGTAGGACTACCTGTAGTTCAATCGACTTCTCAGAAGTTCTAGGAACTTTTAGGAGCTTGGAAAACTATGTTAAGTTCAGAGGACTTCCCAAGAGTATTGAAGACTTCTCTGAAGTTCGGAAAAAATCCATAAGTGTCATAGGATTATCCTTTAGTTTTAAGCAATGCCTAAATGTCGTAGAAGTTACATTAAATCTGTAGAAAATTCTGTAAAATTCGTAGTTATTCCCCAAAGATTAAAGGACTTCCCTGAAGTTCGTAAGACTTCTCTGAAATTTGTAGAACTTCTCTGAAGGTTCGGAGAGATTTCCTGACCGTCGTAGGTCATCACAGTAGTTCACAGGATTTTCCTGAAACTTGTAAGACTTTCCCGGATTTTGTAGAACTTGCATGAAGTTCGAAGGCCTTATCTGAAGTTTTTAGAAATAGAACTTTTTTATTGAACATGTTGAACAGGTACTTCAAAGTAGTTACGCGTCGGCACTGCTTAAGTCTGCTATCAATTAAGCACAAACCATACATGCAATTGATTCGAAAAAAAATTAAATTAAAAATAAATACAAAATATATTTACTAAATTCTCAGGGTAAATTTTGTTCATCAATGTTTAGTTGTGTAAAAGATTTAACTTGAACAAAATAGTTAGTTTTGACCTGATTATAAAAAGAAACTTTGACATAGGTACATAAAATTTAAACCCTATTTAAATTATACAAACAAGATTATTTTCCTGGTGGACTTATGAAATTCCTGGTTTTTTCCCGGTTTTTCCTGGTGAAAATAAATTTCCGAATTTTTCCCGGTTTTCCTGGTTCACTTGCCACCCTGCAAGACCATGCTGGAAGCGGTGGGGTTCGATTCGTGGTCCGGTCTAGGATTTTACCGGTTGAAACATTTCTCGACTTCCCTGGACATAGAGTATGGTTGTACTTGCAACAGAATTATACTAATGCAAAAATGGTACTGGCTTAGAAAGCTCTCAATTAGTGTTGTTAATTGAGAGCTTTCTAAGCCAGTGCTAAGAAAGTGTTCAAAATGTGGGAGCTTGAAAAATAAAATCAAGGTCCTAGACTTCACCCTGAAAATGTTCAAGGCTTTGAAACTTCAGTGATTAGAGATCTAACAATTTAAAGACTATTTATTGGATTCTGGCAAGAAAACTTATGGAAATTTTGAATAGATTTAAAAGGTAAAGTGTAAAAAGTGTGAAGTGTAAGTTCAAAGGGAGGAGGATTTATAAAAAAAATCCTGAATAAAATCTAATGGAGCTCTGACCAAAATTCTGAGATGAATTCCAAGGTGATTCTGAAGTGCCTTGTATTTGAATTTTGAAGAGGATACCAGGTTTAAAGTAGATTCAATTCAAAGACAATTATAAACATAATTTGAAGAGTGATATCACGATAATTTCAAACGTATACTGAAGGAGATTTGGAAAAGAACTCCAACGGAATTCATAAAAAAATATCAAAAAGATAATATTTTGAGGATAGTTCTAAAAAATACTTTAAATCGTGTTAAATTTAAATGTTCCCTCATTTCACATCCGTTGTACCATACTCGGCTATACTGTAATGGATATATAACAGCATTGCTAATAATGTATATCTATCTATATATTGTCCAGTACTATGGAGTCAACAAAGTAAAAACGATAGGAAGAGCAGCAAAATGGAGCACATGCGATACGACAATGGAGTGATGATCGTAAGAAAAATATTCGGAGAAGGGCACTGTCTATTTTCCACGCTGGTGTTACGATTTTTAAGATGCAACTGTGTATCCAATTTATATATCCAAGTGTTCTTGCGGGGCTTATTGTAAATGAAGGCGACTACAGAATATACGTGTATGAGCAGGCATTCTTGAAATGGGTCGTTGGATGTACAGTAGAGCATCACCTTCCATCGCCAGGCCTAAAAATAGATGCACTACCGGCCAGTGGGAAATGGATTGAATACACACACAGTTCCAAAAACTGGAGGAAAAATTAAATTAAATTCTTAGGATAGTTCAGAGGCGTCGCGTGCCTCATTTGTTTACCTGTGCACCAAACTTTGTTCGTTATAGTTTACCATCACATATTACTTTTTGTTTTTTTTTTAAATGCTTCATTGTCCTTCTTCATTCTTTATTAATACCTAACGTAACATTTGGAGGGCCTATCATCTTGTGTAAATAAAACTGGTATGCCCCTTTTCGCGTTAACCGAAGTAGGAGGAATTGCAAAACTTAACTAATTCTCGTATTCATCACAACCCGAGCAAAGTCGGTTAACAAAATGAAAGCAAATCGATATTAAAGTGTGCAGTTCCTATCATAATGAAAACTCATTTTGATTTCAAATGTTGCGACATAAGTCTGATATCATATTGTGCTTTCATTATGCAGTCAAGACTTTTTAAATGAAAGCAACTTAACTTGAAGTTCTGCTGTTTACGTTTTGTATAAAATTTAATTGAAATTCATCTGTCGTTGAACTAATGATTATTGTTTATTTGATTTGTTTGACACATTTTAGGTCATTCGTGACTTGCCCGGGTGAGATTGGAGCCCAAGTCTCTAAACTTGAGAAACATGAATGGTAACCATTTACTCCAGGCCCGTATTCAGTTAATCATTATGAATGCAAAATCAGTAATCAAATTGATTTCATTGAAAGCAGGATTAGTTTTCCGTTTGCTTCAACAGTGTAAAATTTTGCTCTTATTTTTGCTGTGTTAACCGTTAAGTCAACCAAAATAAGATCAACTGGAGTATTCAAAATAAGTTACATCATAACAGCAAATTTTGATTTCAATTTGATCTTCAGCTTTGCTCGGGAAGGAAGTCAAAGAGTTATCTTTCGACTGAAGCGTAATGAAGAATTTTCGTTAAACACTTCCGAAAACATTTTTTGAAACAAAACAGTGTTAAAATCTAGAGAAAATTGATGAAGTCCC